TTTAATTATATAAATATTAAAAATAAAAAATAACCATAAACCATACTTTCCTTTTCCCTTTTTTATTATTTTAATTAATAAATTTTATTTTAATACATAAACATAATTTAAAATTTTAGTTTTAAATACTTAAATTTTAATTTTTTTCATTAATATAGTTCGTATAATTATCAAATTCTTTTAATCTTTTTCAATTAAAAAAAATACGTTGATATTGAATCATTAACCAAAGTAAAATATTTTAGTAAATTAAATTTTTAATTGTATTAATTAAACCAAAAAAAAATAAATATTCATTAATGTATAATTGAACAAAATGATGAACAATGTAGTGAGAAAAATAGAGAGAAAAAGAGTTTTGTTTATCATTTTTTAAATTTTCATAGTAATTTATTTAATTAATATTTAATTGATAAAAATTTAATATTTTAACTATACATCATAAAAGAGTATTATAAGTATTATAAAAATTCTTAATACACTTATAATAAATTTTATTAGAGTATTTTTATTTATATAAAATTTAAAACTAAATCTGCACTAAATAATCAAGAAAAATTTAGTAGATGTACAATAGAGAAATTTTCCCTACCTTCTTCTTCGTCATGAGCCATGAAAGTGGTCACCCCTGGTTTGTAAGTGAAATGCTAAAAATCAACCAAAGATTGAAAAATTATTAGTCTAACAAAAAAATTTCTCCGGAATTTCTAAAATCAATCCCAAGATTCTTGAGTCTGGGTAGAATGGACGCAACAGCAGCAGAAAGAATAGTTGGAGAACTTGGAGGTTGAGCCTTGGGCCAACTAGACTGTTTTCATGGGCCTACTCGACAAACTAGCCATGAACCCCACCCCCCCCCCCCCCACACCAAACACAACCCCAGTCCCACCTAACAACAGCTTCTCTCTGCTCAAAATCCTGAAATCATCCTAATATTTTTTTTACTTGTGTAGACGCCTTCAACCTTTTCCTCATCCTATAATACTCAGTAAAATTCATACACTCAAATCCATAGAAACTTGCCAACATCTTGGTTGTTCTTAATTTTTACAAGTACATAAATTTTCCTATACTTGAAGAGCTTCCTGTTTTGGACTAGACTACAAAAAAAATAGGAACCACTAAATGGGAATCATTTCTAACATATGGTACAATAATCTAAAAGGGACAACACTTTTTTAATGCTTAAATAGTGTACTACAGCATATTCAAATCCGAAATTCCTTACAATTTCAAAACCTAAAGGGGTGTTTTAGTTTTTTTTTTTTTTGTTAAAACTTCTTTTTGATCCCTCTATTTTAATAAAAAGTTCCTTTTTAATTCTTCTACTAAGAAAACCTTTTTTTTTGTCTTTAAAATTTAGCTCTTTTTTAATCCCTTCATTATTTTTTTCTTGTGTGACATATTATCTTAAGAAAAATCTCAAAATAGATAGGTTAGAAGGGGTTTTTTTTTAAGGAAAAAAAAGTCTCTTTTTGATTTATTTATTTTAAAAGTTCTACTATCTAATGTATTACGTGTGTAAAAAATAATAGTGGCTAAAAAAGAGGTCAAAATTTAAATTTTAAGAACTAAAAATGAATTTTCTTAAGTTGAGAAACTAAAAAAAAAAATTTTTTGTTAAAATAAAGAGATCAAAATGGAGTTGTGACCATTTCTTTTTTGGTTAAAAAGAGCTTTAGGGTGAAGGGAGCTAGGTTACCTAACCCAAAGGTGAAGGCATGAGAAACTTCATTAAGAACCTAAAAACAGACGGGAAGAAATCCAAAAACATTGAGTCAAATCTCGTCAACTTTTCCATTTTGATATTAATATTATATATATTTTTTATAATAAGCATTAAAAAATGGGTGCAAACGAGAAACGACCCAGTATCTTCGGTGAAGACCTGATGCAACTAACTTAATTGTCAACGGAAGAATTGAGTACCCAGAGTGTCGGTGTATTTAATTAATTATTGTTCCCATATGGTCCAGACGACCAGTCATACGTTAAGTTAAAAATATTATTGTAAGGAAGTTTCACATTCAATTCCTCCCAAAATTTCTTGGGTTAAATTCAAAGGAACTCGTTGGGTTTGGTTCCGCGAAACTAAGGAATTGGAAAGAGTACACATGCAAAACTGTTCCCAGTTAAAAGACCTATGGCGGCACAAGGGTATTTTCGTGGCTAAAAGACCTAGGCACGTACAGGGGTATTTTCGTAGCTAAAAGACCTAGGCACCAACGGCGGTATTTTCGTAAATTTACGTAATACAGGGTTATTAGGTAGGTAGGCAGGCAGGCAGGCAGGCATGCATGCATGTCCAGGAATCAGATAGCAACCGCAATCAGTGGCATGAATTTGTAACATATAATTTATATTGATACTTGTGTTTAGATTTTGTTTTCTCAGGATGTGTCAGTGATGACTATTGTCTTGTCTGGTACATCCGCTGAAGCCATTTTTATGACTTTGTGTTATTCATTTGCATCGCAATTAATCTGTTGATGCTCTGGTTTGATGATGAGAATGAGGGGAAGGGGAACATTAGGGTTTTTCGTGACGACTGATCTAACTTGTAAAGTGAGAGTCAGAGGGGCACATGCACACACACATACATACACGTATTTAAAAAGATGCATGCCTCGAGACTCAAGAGGCCGATGGCTAGTATCTAGGTACATATCTTTTTGGTTTCTAATTAAATCTCTACAAGTTAGACAAGTTCATGCATGGATTTGATCTATAAAAGTTCCGACCATATTAGGAACTTAAATAGGAAGCTGGTTGATTATTTTGCCTGTCTCCGGGGGCAAACGGGCTCCAAAGAAAAATTTAGTGGTAACTAATTATGTCACTAGAACAAATTAATTGAAGCTATATTAATTACATTATATTCGCAAAATATTAAGGAAAAACATGTCTTTCTGCCATTACACATATAGAATAACTTAACAAAGACTAAAAAAGGATCAAAAAGAGTTGGATCTATTAAGTACGTATTATTTTATACATTAGATTTAATATTTAAGTTTAGAGATAATATTAAAAAAATTAATTTTTTTGAATATGATATAGGAAATTAATTCTTAAAATTATTTAAAGAGAATTAATATCAAAGTGTATAAAAAGTAACCTTATATATTGACAATAAATACAAAAAAAGTAAGATAAAAAAATAAACAAATAAAATAATAACAAACTCAACAACTTATTCACTTACCATGGTCTGAATTATTTTTTCATATTATTAATTACTTTTAGGACAATGATTGGTGCACACTCGGATTCAACACTCGGATGTGCATACTCCACATAAAAAAAATGAACCGAGTGTTCTCCATATTTTTTTTTATGAGAAGTGTGCAGACCCAAGTATTGAATCTGAGTATGCACACATCATTTTCCTTACTTTTAACCTTAAAATGACACTACGTAGTTAATGAAAAATAAACGCATTGAACACGTAAAACCGGTAGCCGGCCGCCAGAAGAAAGTATCTACAAGGGCAATAATTATTTTTTATTATGCTGAATTGAATATTTTTAAATATTATAAATAGTAATTTTTTTTCCAAACCTCCTCTTACTTATTTGACAATTTAAATTTGAAATTTTTAATATAAAAACTTAAAGAATATTGAAATGTCCTTTAAGAGAGACTATAAATTACTAATGATTTATATAATGAGACCAATTGAGTGTTACTTGTTGTTCGTACTTAAAAGAAAATTTTATGTTTATTTTTGACATTACAATTAAAGCATTAATCCTAATGGCCAAATGAAAGAAAGAAAATAGAAGGAATCTTATCAAGAAAAATCATTCCTCATGTAGTATGTAGATGTTTATTAAAATTATGAAAATTTGAATCTTCGCTCTCACATGATGTAACAGATCGAAAAGGCAAAAATGATAGTAGTTTATTTATTTATTTTTTGTTTGCATATAATGATTTATATAATATATGTGGTATTTTATAATTAATATATGTTAATTCATTTATCGTCAGTCACGTAATAATATTGTAATATAAAATAAGAATTTACATTTTGTAGTTTTTCATACAAATTATATATTTTATAATTATTAATAAAAGAAGACAACCCTAATGTCAAATGATTTGTAGCTTATTAATAATGATTAGAGCAAATTGTAACTATGGTTATAACTTCTAATTCATTTGTTAAGTTCATTAAAATTGTATTTCATTTTATTAATATTTGTAATTTTTTTCTTAAATGGATACTTATGACATTAACAAATATTAATTTATAAATTAATTATTTTTATTAATTATTAACTATTTTTAACAATTAAATCAAATAAAATCAATATTTTTTAAAAACATTTTTAGTATCTTAACCAAAAAATTAATCAGCCAAATCACTTTTCTACTTAAACAACACACTAGAAAACCGTTGGATTCATACCATTACCATAAAAGAAAGAAAAAAATGCTAAAAAAAAAGGTCCAAAAAGATCCCGCGGATCTCCTCTTCTATAAATAGACCTCTTCTCCTCTACCTCTTCCTCTCCCTATTAATACTCTTTCTTTCTCACCTGTACTGTAAGCTCATTCTCTTCCTCTGCAACCTCTCCGACTTGCGACTGCGGCGCGGGTTCGCGATTCTGGTACGCATTTTTTTCTTCTTCAATTCTCCAGTATCTGATCTTCGATTCTCTCCTTATGGTTAAGTTTTGCAATTTTATTTGAAACCAATGCCGTTTCCTTCCCGTCGTGTTCTTCGCGTTCATGCTTGTTTTTTTTTTTTTTTCAATTCCGATCGTCGTTCTTAACTGTTTTTGATTTTTAAATGTTCTGGTATTTGATTTCTAAATGTTTTGGTATTTTGATTTCGTTTGAGTTTTTGCCGGCAGCGGCGTTTGGCTGCCAGCAAAAAACCGAAAACAGAGCGGTTGCGGTTGTGTGTTGTTTGTCTGTACTCGTTTTCTCTTTTCCCCTCTCACCTCTCACGTTCGCCATGATCCCTCGGGAATTCCCCGCATTGCGCACGCGAGTGGTGCCAACGCAAGGCGTCCGTTCACGTTTTCTCCTCACACGCGCTGTGTGCTGCGCGTGTCTTCTCTTCAATTTCAGTTACTTGGAACCTTTGTTTTCTTGCCCTTTTTTTTTTTAATTATAAAAGCGCATGGGGTGAAATGTCTGTGGGCCGTACACCTGTCACTAAGGACATAGAGATTGACTGGGCCCACCGGCCTGGAGGTCCACCTGACCCCACGGCACACGTTAATCCTTCGGACCAGGCATTCATCTGAACAGCCTAGATTTAATCACGACTAACACGTATTGATTATGACACGTGTAGGGTAGAGGATTTAGGTCCACAAACTACACTAAACCTTATTTATAAATTTTTATTAAAATAAAAAAGCCTTTAAACTTTACAATTTAGATAATTTAATTATTTTTTTACAATAAATTTAATATTAGTTTAAATATCCTTTTCGTAGATAAAATATTATATGTCATTACCTATATAAATACAAATTGATCTTAAGTTTGCTATAAGGAAAAAAATATTAAATTGTCTAATTTGACAAATTCAAAAATTTATTTGCACCAATAAAAATTCAAGAATTTAATTAAAAATATAAGATAGATTTAAGTGTTTAATATAGGATTTTACCTAGAAAAATGATGAATTTATGTGGGTCGGTTGCACAAAACTACTTTCTAAAGAAATGATTTGGACCGCTACCGGAAAAACGGTTAGATGCCACATCTGACATGAATATGACATGAGCTTTCACCAGGCTTTTGCCACCTTAGAGAATTCTCCTTGTAGTTTCCCTCTAAAAAGAAAAAGGCGCAAAGACTTTTACAAATTCTTCACTTTAACTTAGTACATAAATCTCTCTTCTTATGATTATGTTTTGTATGCCACGTCAAAAGTATATGTTTGACAAGTTATTTATGTTAATTAATTTTTAAATTTAATTTCTTTTAATATGTGATGTGTATGATGTATAAATTATGTACACGCACACACAGTTGTGCGCGTGAGATATATACTAAGATAAAGTAAGAGATCTTTTTTTTAAGTATATTCGAATCGTATTTTTTTGTTTTTATGATTTGAATTTGAATATTCATGGAGATCATTAAGCAAGGAATGGGAATTGAATTTTGAATACGTATTTCTATCATAAACGATAGGTAATGTGGTATCAATTATTAGATCTATTCTAACAGTTAGAATTTTAAATCTTTGAATCTCTAAGTCAAAAATAACTCGTAAATAAAATTAAGGCACACTAAAAGTATGTAATAGGAGAGGTTTATGATTCTAATATACTTAAAAATTAATCCTCTTATACTTTTCCCTAATATATATGATTTGAAGTTAAAAGTATTGCCATAGTACATTTAGGAATAGTAGTAATGCCATGTTGGTCTAATGGTCTAAAGATGGTTAGTTCGGTACAATATTAAAATAAATAAAGCAGATTAACTGAAACTTCTTTTAGAATAATATTTGGACTTCAGGGGTCAAAAAGTAAAGCTTCCTTTTGACCAATTGATATAGTTTAAGTCTTCTTTATATGCTCAAATTAAAGCAAGAAATAATTACCATAAGCCTGTGTAACATTTTCAATTAAGGATGCAGAGAAGCTAGACAGGACGAGTGCTTTTTGACAGCCTTTAATTAACAGTTAGCCTATGTCTTAGCCTACGATTTAGATAATCTAACAATGGACTAATATATATATATATATATTACTTACTCCATTAATATATATATATATATATATTACTTACTCCATTAAACTTGATTCCTAAGTAATTAGAACACAAAATAATTAACTAATTAATTAAAACACTAGTCAAAAGTCGGCAAAAGGTATCCACTAGCATCCATAGGCTGATGCATCACCCGTCATAATCAACGGATCTCTATACTGATTTTATGACTTTGAAGCTTGAACTCCAGTTCCAAGTAATTTCTTCGGATAGACATGTTGTCTGGAGTGGTGTGTCTGCTTGTGAGGAACCTTTCAGTTCACTTTATTTAGTCGAAAACCACACCTACTAGACGTGTCGATTCTCTAATCCTTAGAAACCCAGGCATGTACCATTGTCTTCCAATCAACCATATATTCCACGACACGCGATGGTCTATCTGGTGTACATTCACTTTTTCTGTTTTTTTCCTGTTAACCGTGTTTTCTTTTTGTTAACCGTGTTTTCTTTTCTTCGATTCACACGCCAGTCAAGACGTCTCTTCTAGACGTGTCGCTTGTCCAATCCTTGACAGTACACCGTGCTTCTTAAGTTCTCTTGCCGGTTATTAGCTCGGTTAAGTTGATGTTTATTTTTCGAGGAGTCATTTTCAGTTAACTAAACAAATTATTAAAGTAAATTAAATTACGCACTATGGTATTCATTATAGAAGTATAAACTAAATTAAACAAGTAAAAGCAAAGGGACAAGTCAATTTGTGGCTGCATAGGATACACGTATTTTCTTTGAACGTGTCATGTTTAAGTCCCTTGGGTGGTTTTTTATGACTATTATATATGAAGTACTGTGTTTTGGTTTCTTCTGCTGTCTGGTGCATCATGTCACGTTCTGTTTTGGGTTAGTGGGTGTCAAATGCAAATGAAAAGAATGTTTGTTCAATAATTTGGTTTGCCTCCAATCAATTATGCTAGCTGGTTTTCTTTGTATTCCCCTGAATATGATGAGAGAGAGAGTGTGTGAGAGAAGCAGATAAAATAAATTTGAACAGTAATTTTGTCAGGGGGAGGGACTTTGGGAATTAGTGGGACAAGATGGTAGTTAGGAGATGGAAGCCTGATTGACGCCCGCCCTATTGTTCCTTGTCATGTCGGCTATCTGCTGAATCAGTTGATTTGAAACCGTGCTGGTGACATAATTAACCCTTAACAACGGCCATTGCAATGTTGAGTCAACAAATCTAACTTATTTGTTATCGTAGCTCTTTTTTAATTTTCTTTATGTTCCTATTGTACTTCTTTTTGCCAAAAGTTCCATCTGGAGATAATGACCTTTTCCTAAACAAATAACTGCACAACAGCAGAAAGCTCCTTTAATGCTTTTTACAAACACTCGTTACATAACATGATTGTGCCCTCTCTGTAACTACAATGGTTCTCAAGACTTGTAATTTGCTTGATTGTTTCCATGAAGGTGGCCTTCATAGATAATTTAGACTTAAAAATTAAGACCTTAATGCTGCTGATGATTTTCATTAGTCATGAAAAGGACTCGATCATTATAGATAGCTTTTTCTTTTAATTCAACTATCATATGAAACTGATTATTCCATTAACCTTCTAAGTCTGTAATTTGTTTTGCAGTACTTCTGATATTGGGATTGTTCTTTTATCCAATTATTTCTATTTTGTAGTTGGGTGAAGTTGAACGTATTGAAATCCAGAGGCCAAAAAAAAAATAAAATCATTCGCTCTTTTTTTTTTTCCCCAGCATGATCCTTTTTACTTTGTTATATGAACTATAACTTGTACCTAAAAAGATTTAGTGAATTTAGCTTCCTATGGACTCACGTTTCCATGGCACTTGTTATGCCACCAAATTTCGGTTATGCGTTCCTAATATTTTTGTTTATTTCTTAATAATAAGGTGATTAAAGAAAAAAACTTCGTGAAATTCATCAACCTCACAATGGGGCTTCAAAAATCACATTCCTTCAAGCCAAAAGCGCAACCATTGTCCAAACCAGAGCATGATGTGATGGTTACCGACGACCAGAGACCATTGGGCACTCCTGATCCCATTGCCGATCAACCTATTTTGTCCGACGCAGGTTATGCTTCGTGGATGGTAAGCAATTCGAGTTTGTATTTCTACGCATTCGTTATAAGCTGAATTTGTTTGAAAATTAATGATCGGACATTGTCATTCTATGATCAGGTGGAGCATCCTTCTGCACTTGACTCCTTTGATCAGATGATGAAGGCAGCTAAGGGGAAAAAGATTGTCGTGTTTCTGGATTACGATGGTACTCTCTCCCCAATAGTTAACGACCCCGATAGGGCCTTCATGTCTGATGAGGTCTGTCACCATTCTTTTCTACAAACATTTTAATATGTCATGTATTAGAATGCCAATCATGAAAATTTTCTTAATTTCAGATGCGTGCTGCAGTACGTGAAGTTGCTAAAAATTTTTGGACTGCGATAGTCAGCGGTAGGAGCCTGGACAAGGTAAAATTTGGCTCAGTGGCTAGCTAGTTGAGTCCATTGTTTTTGAAAGTTGATGGTATAAAGGGTTGTTTGATTCAGGTGAAGGAGTTTGTGAAGTTGAGTAATGTGTATTATGCTGGGAGTCATGGAATGGACATTATGTCACCGGTGAGCCCAAGGAAGCAATGTAATGGAAAGTATCAAAACATAGCTAATGTTGAGAATAAAGTAAGTTGCTTGCTTCTCTTTACCCATGAAAACAGGGGAAGAGTATGTTTTAACCTCTAATTAGTGATGTTTCTTCTAAAATCTGGCAGGGGAATGACGTTCTCTTCCAACCTGCTAAGAAGTTTCTGCCTGCAATTCAAGAGGTAAGCTCTTTCGGCTGAGGGAGAACAATTTCGAATCTTCTGTTCTAATTACAACATCAACATGATAAGTGTGCATCCAATGCATGTTCAGGCGAATTTTATCATAGAATTGAGGGCTTTCTCAGTTGCTACCACGATAAGCTGGTTGACAAGATTTTCTTAATTGTTGTACAAATTACAATATATGAACCACTTCGATCTTTTGCAACAGATACTCTCAAAATTGGAAGAAGAAACCGGAAAGATTCAAGGTGCACTGGTGGAGGACAACAGATTTTGCATCTCTGTTCATTACCGGCAGGTTCAAGAAAAGGTAAGAGTAAAGGAAATGGTTTCAAGCCAAACTTATTTATTTGCTGCTTTATTATTTCACCTTGTCATCATCAATACATCATTGTAGATAACAATTAGTGTACAAAATCTTTTTTTTTTTTAATATTCCAATTTACTGTTTCTTTGCAGGACTATGGAATGTTAGAGGAGAAGGTGAAATCTGTCCTTCAAAAGTACCCAGATTTTTGCCTCAGTGAGGGCAAAATGGTAGGCTTAGGCTATAAACTTTTCTAGTTCTATATAGGTATGGAAAATTGAACTCATAATCTGATCTTTCTATATATTGTTCATAATAAGGTTTTGGAAATCCGACCATCTATAGAGTGGAACAAAGGGCATGCCTTGGAATATTTATTGGAAACTTTTGGGTTTAGAAACTCCAGAGATGTTCTGCCATTGTACATAGGAGATGATCGAACTGATGAGGATGCTTTCAAGGTATTGCTTGATTGCAGAGTAAACCAACTTAATTCTTTTCTTAAAAGACTAGCCAACTAGAATCTAATCTTTTTTCAACTAAAACTTTTTCAGGTCATACAGAGTAGAGGACAAGGATTTCCCATCATTGTTTCTTCCATTCCAAAAGAAACCAAAGCCTCATACTCCCTACAAGATCCATCGGAAGTGTTAACCTTCTTGTTACATCTAGCAAGTTGGAAGAAATCCTCTTATTCAAACAGATCAAGCTCTCAATTCTGGGGTATAGGTAATTGAAGCAAAGGTTTTGTTTTGTCTATATATAGATGGAGCACTTTAGGTGTTTTGTGAAACCATTGTGCATCCATCCAGCTTGTAAACGACAATGTCAGTGCCTTCCCTTTCTGCATCTGCTTTACTGGTCCTAGTAGTAGCTTAAAAAAGGATAGAAGGAGGACATTTTTAGTCGCCTCAGCAAATTCTCCCTTTTTAGCTTCTTTGCTGGTTGTTCCTCTTTTCTCTTAGTATGTATGTAGAAAACCTCTTATATATTAAATCTCAGTTTCTGTTGTTACATTCTCTTGGTAAGATAAGGTTTTTTCCTTTTTTTTTTTTTTTTTTTTGAGTTTTATGTACTTTGTGTTTATACTTTTATTTCTTACATCTGAGTCCAAATGATCTCCTCTTGACTTCTTGTAGTCTATAGACTCTATATTCGAGTTAGGTTACTTAGATGGGCTTACATATACAATGCCATGGCTGATTTACTTCCAGCCCAACATTTGATGAGCTATGTTCTGATGAACTCATTTTTCATTGTGTCAGAATACTTTCTTTCTGTTCCAAAAATCGTAGATGTAACATAGACCTAGTAAAGGAGATTTTCTTTCTTTTTACTCTATGTGGACGGTCAGAGTTGATGATTTGCATACAGAATATTCCGACTAACTTGGCCTCTTCTTTATGAAAATAGTACTCACAAAAGTAAGAGGGGACAACTTTAGACCTTGTAGTCTAAAAGGACAGTCAAAGCAACTCATTTGACATTGATACTGATTGATTGAATGCCTCGCTGACATGTTCATTTTTTTCTTTTCCTGTTTGGTTGAGTCACATCTTTCAAGCTACGTGCTTGTGTAATGCCATTCATTTTAAGGAAATGTGGGATTCTCAGAAATGCTGGAATCTTTCAATTCTTCTTCTGAGTTCAATGTATGACTTTATATAGGTAAGATTCTGGTTAGAGGTCACTCTAGGTTCATTTCCAAGCTTTAAATGTGTTTCCATTTCTTTATTAAAGTACACATGATGTTAAATTTTTGTATCTTTTCCACGTTAAAGCAAATCTAGTGAAAACATTTAGGTTAGGCCTTGAATTAAAAGATATTGCTGGTATTACTATCACCCACATTTCTTTATTAAGGTACACATGATGTTAAGTTTTTGTATCTTTTCCATGTTAAAGCAAATCTAGTGAAAACATTTAGGTTAGGCCTTGAATTAAAAGATATTGTTGGTATTACTATCACCACCAACCATTCATGATAAATGCAGCTACAAATTGTTTCTTTTTCTATTATTTAGGAACTAGGCAGTGAAATAATATATATTTTTGGATCATATGCCCATTTTTCCTTAACCCTAACAATGATGCTCTGCAAATGCTAAATTAATATCTATTCATTTTAAGTGCTAAGTTTACATGGATCATAATTATTATAGAAGTTCACTAGCAGTTTCAGTTGCGTTGGACCGTTGGTAGTACACCCAGAATTACGTGGCAATTGGCAAGCCCAAGATATGATTTATAGAAAGTACAAATTACGATTTAATTTGACAACATTAGTTTATGATTGTAATGTAAGTTTTTTTATCTTTTAATATTTTAAAGATATATAAAATATATTTTATATATTTAATATTTATTTTAATAAACATTTTATATATTTTTAAAATAATAAAAAAATATAAAAACTAAAAGGTAAAGTACTAAGAATTGTTGTCAAATAAAACCTACATACACTTGCTTGGAGAAAATTATCCCACCCCCAAGTTTCCCAACTTTAATAAAAAAAATTCTGAAAGAGTTAGATGTTTTGGTCATTTAAAATGTTAGAAATATATGATGATGGAAAAACTTAAATACTAATATGTAAAAAAGATTCATTTGAATTTAAACAGTTTCATAAATAGTCTTAAAAAATATGCGTAGAATAACTAGTCAAACTATCAAGCATTGATGAGAAGGTACTCTCTCCCTATATGGCCAAGGTTTTAATACTCATTTGCCCTCTCCACCCCTCTTTTCATGAGGTTTTTAATTAGTTAACTTTTCCTATAAAAAAAAAAATCATAAACAATCCTTATATTTTAAATACCATAACGTTTTAATTTCTATTTTTTTTTCTTTAAAAACATAACCATTATAGAAGTGTAAAGGGATTACATAAACCCCACTAATCTATCAAATATATGATATATCACTCTGTATCGTTGGTGGGTAATGATCCTTCTAGAATATATTACCAATTGATAAAGATATCTTGATATGTATAGAAGAATACTACTAATACCACTAACTCTCAATAATTACACACCATAGGCACTGGTGTTGTGCTCAAATTAAATTTTCATCTATGGCTTCTAGTCTAGGTTTTAAAGGGTAGCAACTTTTCCCAGATTCTTTTGCTTAGTGGCAAGGCAAGCAGACACAGCCAAAGTTATCTAATACGTGCATTTATTTTGGATTCTTAAGTTTGGTACTTGTTAACATCAATATATTTAAACAGCATATTCTTTGGCATTTCCTTCACACGGAATAGAACACTCCTTGCTCATCCAATCAGATTAATAGATTTGAAATAGTTTGATGGGTGCAAGCCTTTTAATCGTGAGAATTATTAATTAGTATTGTTAGAATTATGCACATTAGAAGACAAGGGAGTTGGTATTTACAAGGATTTTTGGGTCAATTTTTGCTAATCTTAAGACTAATTAAATTTTTTTTTTTAAAGATGTAGCTTTCATGTCGATTTGATGTATTTAACAAAAATAATTTTTTTAAATATTGACTCTCAAAATTTAAATCTTGAATTTGATATATAAAATAGATTTAATATTTAATATTTATAAACAAAACAATTTTTTATACAAATTTCTTTTCATTTTTTTTAATTTTAGACTTGAATTTAAAATTTTTAACATAAATATTTAAATTCTTAAATAGTTAGATGTCACTTAAGGGACAGAGATAAGGTATCTTTTTCATATCATGATTTGCTGCTTAAGCTGTTGGAAATTTTCCCAACACGGATCGTCATTATACAGCTTTGTATATATTTTTCATTTTTTAAAATGGTTGACAGGTTTGATTCATTGAGACATGTTTCCTAGCTTGTGGATGAAAAATAATAATGAATATAAGGTAATTAATTAAAGTTAGGATTTAATTACATAGATTATTGTTTTATATATATATATATACATAAATTATTGTTGAATTTCAAATTTAATGGTTGAAAATGATGATACTAAAGTGCATATATATTTCTAATTGTTAAATTTAAAAATTAGTAATAGATAATTTATATAACACTTAGACACATACACAGGTATATCTAGATCTATTAATTTATTATTGATTTATTTAATTAACTTGTTAATTGAATATGAACATCTTTAATTTTGCCAGGCACCGTTAGAAGGACAAGTAAGCGATAATAATTAATAATTAAGTACATAATAATTAGGTGAAGGTAGTTAAAAATATAAGATTTTAAATTAAAAATGTTGTATTTGAATCTTAAAACAATTATTTATTATTGTTAAATCTATTATTTGATTAAAAAAATACATGTACAATTAATTTTCTAAATAATTTTTAAATATTGTTAAAATTTAATAATAGACATATAATTCTTAGAAAATGGATGCATGAGAAAATAATTTTAAACCTCTTACTCCCTATGGGTAACAAGAGGGCATTTGGAGCACAAAACATGAGAGTCCCAGAAAATGACAAATTACTGAATGTATTACTCTGCCCCCCAAAGTCCAGATCTGACATTCCTTCCTCAGGCAATAAAATTGTGATTTTTTTTTGGAGGGGGGGGTGGGGTTGGAACATCATATGGACTATATTAAAAGAAGAAGAAGAAGAAGAAGTAATACTCTTTTAGTCTTTTCCAAATTCTCTCATTCATTTAAAGGCTGTGTTTGGTCTTCTCAAATAATCAAAGAGAACTCAAGGATAATTTGGTATTTTTATGCCTCAATAGTGCTTTTTTTCTAATCGTTATTTTACTCTCTTTTTTTTCATAGATTGAAAATTTAAAGGACAAGTTATATTTTTTCCTTTAAAAAATATAAGAATAAAAAAAATTAATGGTTAGATTGATAATTAAAGCTAAACAATAGCAATGAGGTTAAGTTTTTTTTTTTAAAAAATTGTTTTTTTTTTTTTTACTTTGAAAAAAATTTTCAATTGAGAAACAACTATTTTTGTGAACTTTTTACTCTAATTTTGCCCCTTTTCACAATCCCTAACGAGAGTTTTTCTCTTCACCAAAGTAGAAACTTTCCTCAACTTTTTCCTTTGAATCCATTTGACAATTATTCTTTTTAAAAAATTGTAATACTAACTTCTTGTCACACATGAAAAAATTAAAAATTTTTACAAAATTTTTTTAATAGTTACCAACCATTTTAATAATAGTTTCCCAACAAATTTTTGTAGATAAAACCCTTCAAAGAAAAACCGTCACACCAAGCAAACCCTAAATTTCGATTAGAATTTGGCATTGATGGGACATTTTAAAAGACTAGAATTGTGGAAAAAAATAGATACATGCATTTGTGTTTTTAATGCTTTATTAATATTTAATATTAAGTCTTAGGACAAACACCTAAAAAAATTATTTTTAAAAAAAATGCATAAATCAATATAGGAATGTGTTCTTAAATTTATTTAGGCTGTAACAGGCTAGAATTTAAGGTTAGAGGGGGCACAATTATACATTATAAAAAAAATTCAAGCAAAATGACTTTTCCACATTCATGGTTTCTTAATTATTAAGAAAACCTATAAATTACAATTAAAAAATACTCTAAAAACTATAGAAAAAGAAGAATACAACAATGACAAAATATAAATACAGATAAAAAATAATGATAAATAAGAAAGATCAAAATTAATCGTATTCCTTTTCTTAATGAAATTACTCAAATGCTACAACTTAATATGCAAATAAATAAATAAATTAAGATCAAAATAGTAAATAAAAGCTAAGAAAATGCATGCTTCATAAATTGATTCCAACAAAACACAAAGACTAAAGCCTTTCTAGAAACAAAGCAATTTGTACAAATAAATTAAATTGCAAATTGAAACAAAACAAAACAAATCAAGTGTACAAATCTAAATTTGCATTGTAGGGCACTAACATAAGAATAAATATAAAACTTAAACCTAAGAATAAAACATTTGTTGGTAAAGTTAATAAATAATCATAGAATAAGTACAAAAACACAATAAAAAGATAACACAAACTCACAACAACTTAAAATTAACAATTATTCTTCCCCCTATCAGCAAGAACTAGTTAAAAATGTAAAGTCTTTCTCCCAAAAAAATAGAAGGTCAAATAATTGGCATTTAACTATCCAAAGCCAAAAATAAAAATTAGTAATTACAACAGTTGGTTACTGCAGAAGAGCATCCCAATACAAGAACCCAAAAGTCTATTGTTATGAAAAATGTTAAATTGATAGAGTTATATATTTTGAATTAAGAGAAGAAAAGAGCTTGGGTTTAAATGATAAACTACGACATAGTAGACGATTAGGTTTAGATTTGCCTTTTTTTTACTTAATATTTTAGCATACATATTGCAATTTTTATTTTATAATTAAATATAATTTTATTTTTTAACAAGCCCACTAGCTATGCCTCAGACCTAGAAAAAAATAATAATTTTGAGGTATGTAAAAACTTATCAAAATATATTCTAACTGTAAATAAAAAAATATATATTGAGGTCAAGTAATATTAAGATAAGCTGTCACCGCCTCAATAAGAAAGCAAAATTTGGTGAAATGAGGAACAAAATCTTTGACATTTATGTTTTGTTGACAAACAACAGTTTCGCCTAATTGATAACCATTAACCCCCAAAAAAAAAAAAAAACCTTTGATTAGAGTTAAAATTAGATGTTTAAACGATGAAATATCCTTAACTCTTAGTTTAACAAAAAAAAAATTTTTTTACTTGGGAAAAACTAATTAAGTATATGTTTGGTTTGGTTGATTTAGTCATCCAATGGTATTTTTGCTTTAAACATCTGATTAGAGTGTTTGATAATATCAGTTTATAAACTGATTTTAATGTTCTATTAGTAGTTCTATTAATTATGGCAAGAGATATCTCAAATGATTAAAATATTGAAACTTTAAGTTAAAAATTTTGAGTTTAAAATTTAAAATAGATGAAGAAAAATTAAGGAAAAAGAGAGAGGTGATTTTTACTGTATAACTTATAATTTAATGTATTAAAAAATAATTCTATTAATTATCCACTAACAACTAAAACTATTAACTATTCAAAACAGCCAAAACATAACCTAAAATAAGGAAGAATTAGAAGAGAAAACAGATAAAAACTGATTAAAAAATCTCTAAGAGAATTTTTTTTTTAAATTAAGATTTATGTTTTATAGGTGAGACTATATATTAAAAATATAATCTCATCTATAAATTTACTAAATTACTATTATTGAAATAACATAACAAATAATTTTATTAAAGTATTTTTTTAAATTCATAAGTGAGATTGTATTTTTAATATGTAATTTGGTCTATAAAATACATTTTTATTTTTTATTTAATAAAGAAATTTTATCAAAGGAAATTAATTAATGATATTTAAGAAAAAATATTTTAGTATTTAAAACAGGGTTAATCTAAGGACACAGGATAAGAAGAATTAATTATGTAATAATTATCATTTTTTTCTTAAAAATGATAAAGTTAATTTTTTTATTTTAATTATTAATGTCATGGGTTAGATTTTGATTGGTTAATTTTAAATTAAATATCAAATGTTATTTTTTTTAATATAAAATTTGACCCCTTTCAAAGAAATAGAGTTATAATTATCACTTAATAAAAACTTCTTACTTTGTACCATACAAGTACAAGGTAGACAAGTTATTTAAAATATTAAAATATTTAATCACAATCAATAAAAATATAAAATATACTATAAAATTTAATTTTATTAAATTTATAACTAATTATTATTATTAGAAAAGTAAGTATCAACTTATATCACAAAAAATTCAATAAAAATTTTTTAAAATTAGGTTATTTTAATAAAATTTTATTGAAAAAAATTAAAATATCTTAATTATTTTCAAAATAGAGATTAGAATATTTTAATTTTTATAATATTTTATTAAAATAAATTAATTTAAAAATATTATATTATTTAATTATTTTTAAACATTAATATCTATTATTAAATTCTCTAACATTTTTATTAATTTTTAATGTGAGGAGGTTGTGATTTCCCCCATTTCCCATGATATTTTTTGGTTGGTTATTATATTTTTTTCCATTTAGGGGTCTAGTGTGAATGCTCTTTTATGGCGGTGACTCGGAGGCACTTTTTATTATAGAAACCGATTACGATCAGAATTAGAAGCTTCGCTGCGGAATCGGAGCTTGGTTTTCCGGTCGACTCAGTCGATTCACCTTATTGTTGTTGAGCGGCACGGACGCGGAGAGAGAGAGAGAGAGGAAGAGGAAGGTGTTGAGGTCAGTGCGCGTTTGGATTTTTGATAGAAAGAGGGCGAAAATGAATGCGAGCGGCAATGGATTTGGGAGTGCGGAGGGCGAGTTCATACAGAAGCACCACCAGCACGAGCCTGGCGAGAATCAGTGTAGCTCAGCTCTGGTTAAGCACATCCGTGCTCCTGTTCATCTCGTAACGCTCTATTTCTCTCGCTTTAATGTGTATTGGTCTCTATATTCTGCGTATATACGTGATGTTAATCATTTAGGTTCTTGTTTTGGATTTGTTGATTGATTTCGGTTGGCTTAGAACTCGGCTTTCTGAAGATTCGGAAAGCTCGAGTTTTAACTCGCTCGTTTTGTTTTGTTAATTTTTCTTTCTTTTCTATTTTAATGTTTGATTTTGAAATCTTTTGCCATCTCTAGTCTTTCTAGGTTGGTGGTTTTGATGGGAGGATTGTGTTTCCTGATGACATGGAGGATCAGGTAGAGATTTGCGGGGATTCTTATGTTAATTTATGCAAATACTGAAGTGGGTTTTCTAATGTTTGGACTCTACTGTGGAGAAAAATTGTTATCTTTCTGAGGTGGTGATTGAATCAATTTGTTGCATTGCATTTGCTATACTGATTGTATGATTCCATTATTTGGTTGTTAAGCAAACTGAGAAGAAGAAAAGAATGTTTATCTTCATAAATCCATTTTAAAGGAGTATTATGAGTTCCTGGTATTTGAAAAAACATTTATCTCTTAATTGAGGGTATTGACAACCTCAAGGAGGAAGCACGTAAAAGTTTAGTCATATGAAGTCACTTATTTCTTTGTTTAGAGGTATAAAGTTGGAGGTTTGAAATAAGGAATTGGTTAGTTGATTTTTGGTGACAAGGTTTTGAAAGATTTATCATAGGATGAATTGTCATGAGGTAATTGTTTCTTGACCCCTTGAGGAACAATGGAATCAAGTTTAATTGAATCATATATCACTTCTTTGGTTGAATGTTGCTTTTCCTAAAAATAGAGATCACAATAAAAAATGTTTTTCCAAAAATTCATCCCATCTTCTGTTCCATTTTTGATATGCGAAAAAATTGGGTTTTCAAGATACTCAACTGGGGAGGATATTACTTAGAAAGGGGACACCTAAACATGGATGTTTGGTTGATGTTGTTTGGTTTGACTTTCTCAGAGCTATTGTTTTTCCTCTCTGAAATTGATATCTATCCTCCTGGTTGAACTTTTCCGTCCAACTTGGCATAATGATGTATTACTTCAACAGGTTTGGTCTTTGGTAAGGAGATTTGACCAACCGCAGAAGTATAAACCTTTCATCAGCAGGTGTGTTGTTCAGGGAAACCTTGAGATTGGAAGTCTTAGGGAAGTTGATGTCAAGTCAGGATTGCCTGCTACTACAAGTACTGAAAGATTGGAGCTCCTTGATGATGATGAGCATATCCTCAGCATCAGAATTGTTGGTGGTGATCACAGGCTTAAGGTAAGAAATCTCTTCTCTTTGTTGTGACTTGTGATTTAATCCCATTGTTCTCTTTCTCTAAAATGGTTCCTCCTCATCATGCATGAACAATTTATGCTATATTTTCTCTTTCAAATTGTTTTCTTTCTGAAGAGAAGTTGCCTCGGTCTTTAACATCCATGCGTTTGCTGCAGTTTTTGCTTTGTAATAGCAAGATTTTAGTTTTGCTATTAAGTTTACGTGTTAGGTACATTTTAGCTTTACTTGATTTTAAATAAATATTACATAGGTTTGCCTGGCTAATATGTTTGATATTCATTTTTGTATAAATAATAGATGTGTTCAAAAACCATGTTGGTTAGTTGTGAGATGTATAAACTGAAAACACAGTATAAAAGATATGGTTGATTGGTGGATTAATGCGATCTGATCAGGTCACTTGGTGATTGTAAATGAGCCTGAAGCATGAAATTTTAATTTCATTCTTGGTCATAGCTAGGTTTGGACTCTGTTTCACCTTTTGCGTTGTTTTTCATCTGCCAGAACTACTCTTCAATCATATCTCTACATCCTGAGATCATTGATGGGAGACCAGGGACCTTGGTGATAGAATCTTTTGTTGTGGATGTGCCTGAGGGAAACACCAAGGATGAGACATGTTACTTTGTTGAAGCATTGATCAAGTGCAATCTGAAATCACTAGCAGATGTTTCAGAACGGCTTGCTGTGCAGGACCGAACTGAGCCCATTGATCGTATCTGAAAATTGGAAAGAGGGAAATGAGATGGAAGCTATAATAATTGGCATGGATGAAGCTCTGCATTTTTATGTGTCTTGGAAACTTTGGAGACTGACTGGCAATTTTGGATCTTCCGTCTGCTGGATATATTACTCTACATTACTCTTGTTTAGCCATATTTCCTCGGATATGTTTGGTTTGAGGGAAACAAAGGGGAGAGGAGGGGAGGGATGGCTTTTTTGACTAATCAAATTACAATATTTGAAAAAGTTATAATTTGATTGGTTAAAAGCTCACCCTTCTCCTCCCTTCCCCTCCCCCACATTTCCCTCAAACCAAAATACTCTGTGTTTTCAATTTATCTGATGGAGTTCCTATCGTTAGCAGCACACCCTTCTTGGATAGACTAAAGTTAGAAAAGGAAGAAAAATAGACTCTGTTGTCATTCTCTGTGATTCATAGGGCTTTTCGATTCAGTATTTTAATGATTGTATAGGTACCTGCTTGAAAGAGTTCAGTATTGTCTTTGGTATATTCTTGTTAGTTGCAGGTTGATAGAAGTTCAATTAGAGCGTGGTGGAAGTAATGTAATTATCAATTTTCGTCTTACGGACCACCTTGATGAAAAGATACTTGAAATAGAGAATTATTTGCAGAACTTCTGCCATAGTTTCTAGGAAGATGCTTGTTTTGTTTATTAATTCAAAATCATGTCTACCATATTTTCCCTTTGCATTATTGGTGTTTGCCTTGTACGCTCAGTATTTAGAATTTTAGCTGGTCCTAGAAAAGTTGGACATGGACATAAACATGCTCTGTTTTCTAAATTTCAGAAGATCTGAAACATTTAAGCGCAGCATCTATGAATCATTTTTCAGATGCCTCAAAAACGGGGTTTATTCAGTTCCACCCAAGCATATTCTTTTGATTGCCTGTATCCTCATCAACGAAGAAAATTTGTCAAGACAGTGACCCAATTCATTTCATTTTAATATGATAGTTTCACCTTCACCAGTTGTTTGTTTTCATTCTTTATTAAATTGTTGTGGAACTGTTTAGCTTATCTCATGTTGACTTTGTCATTACCCAATTAGCAAATGAGAGATTCTGTATCTTCAGTCCTTTTTTTTTTTTTTTTTATTTTTCCTTTTACGTGAAGAATAACCCTTTCCTTATCAACTTCCTAACTTCCTTTTTCATTCAAGATTCGAACTTGAATCATTTAATATGAAAACTTAATCATTAAAATATCTCTTGGGGACAATGGATGTACCAAATTACACGTTTCCACGTGATTATTGCAATTAATAGGAAGACAACATCTCTACGTATTTAAGAACGCTTGCACGAAACAGCTAATGTAACAAGAAAAACATCTGACGTAACAAAAGATAAACCGTAAAGTAGTTTCACAACTAACCCCTAATCTTTCGGCTTTTTATTAGCTGTTGTATCACGTTGCATTGAAGAATTATCAAGTACAGACAGGATGATCTTTCAGAATGCCAAACGAAGAACAACAAATGTGTGCATGGCGAGGGCACTAAATATGATTTTTCTCAACAATTAGTATGGTCTGAGTTATATTCTACAATTCAAAATTTTACCCTGAATCGGGTAGAATTCAAACAATACATGATTTCATAAATAATACAAGATTTCTGTTCTTCTAGGTTGTTTGAGCGCTGTGTGCAAACAAAGACCGATCATTTCATAAGATGCCTAGGATGTTAAACTGACTACATATAACACATCTTATGATGATTATGGGGAAATTTGCAAAGAAATTGTGCAAATAATCACCTGTAGTGCTGTAAATATACTGTACAGAATTCCCCCACATTCAAAAGAGAAACATCAAGAGCTGAAGCTTAAGCCAAAACCAGATCCCCTTCTTCCTGTACTTGTTGCTCTGGTAGTCCTCCTTCCCGATATGGGAGAAGAATGCGTTTTATTTCTTCTGCGTTAAGTGTTTCACACTCTAAAAGCGCGTTTGCTAGCGCATGTAATGCCTTTTCATGCTGAAAAATGGCAAACAAAATGTTGGTAGACTGTAGGACTTGCATTTTTTTATATTTGGTACTAATGAGTTATAAAAAATGAATAAATACTAGAAAATCAACAGTTATGTTTTTTAACTAAAACACTACTGTTTTGATGAAACAATTTTTAGGAGGGATTTCATCCATAGTTTTTTATGATTTTTGTCAATCAGAATTATATTAATCTTATCAAAGATGAATCACTAACTAAAGAGCTGTCGGTAACAAACCTTCTTTAACAAGGCTTTTACACGATCATACGCTTCTCTTAAGAGTTTCACTACTTCAGCATCAATGCGGGATTGCATTTCTGAACTTGGTCTCTCTTTAATATGAACTGGCCCAATTGCATCGCTCATTCCACAATTTGATACCTAGATACCATAGTTGGTTGCAATAAAAAAGTTAAATAAATGCAAAATATATATATACATATATATAGTGAGCAAGAAAAAAAAACCTCCAGTTATGCATAAATATTGATGTCACAGAGCAGAAAAATACCATATATTTAGCAAGTTCTGTGGCTGTGTTAAGATCACTACTTGCCCCTGTTGTGACATGGTCCTGACCGAAGATGAGCTCTTCTGCAACTCTTCCTCCCATACAGACATCAAGACGAGCTAATAGTTGCTTTTTACTAATTGATGTCTCATCACTTGAAGGGAGCTGTGTAACCATTCCTAGTGCAGATCCACGTGGCATGATTGTTGCCTTGTGAATTGGATGTGCACCCTCAGTATTGTAAGCAACAATTGCATGGCCACTCTCATGATAAGCAGTGAGCTGAGACAATGTGTGTAATGTAAGAAAATAAGATGACCTATTTTGGATAACAAGAAGAGTGTGAAATGATGACATAATGATTGGGTTGGTCTTATTGATGAGGTCTTCCATACATAACAAGCTAACAACAATTTGACATCTCTTCAAAAGTGGGGCTGTGTACCAAGTCTTGTGCAGCCAAGTGAAGAGAAGGACACCCACTTAATTATTATTTCCCATCATACCACTTCAGACTATAACACCATTGGGTAGTACAGACTTTTTCCTTGTGAATAATGGACCAGAATAGTAACTAGTCCATTCAAGGGTTGCGCCAGCCAAACCTCAATGTTTCATGATGATAATGACTATATATCTGTTAAGTTTCATAAATCTCACTTTCAACATAAAGAGCATGCATGTTTTATCATCTGAAGAAATAAATTTCTAGAAAATCTTGTGAGGAATATTTTCCTTGGAAGATTTTCTCTAGAGACTCTCTCCCTCTCTTCCCCAAAACCCCAAAACATGGAGAGAGTTAAAAAGGGGAAATAAAAAAAGAGAGTATTCTTTTGGTGATTACTTTATTAATAATTCAACAACCTCAAACAAAAACCATGCCTTTAACTTTTTACTAGATGCTTAAGGAATAACTTTATACCTTCTTTGACTCCTCTGATAAGAACATTGTTTTACGCTCTGTACCCATAATAATCCGGTCTTTTGCAAACTCCAGCTGTGCAGCTGTCAATTTATCCGCGCCTTCAACAGCAGCTTTAATCGCAGCAATATTCACCAAGTTTGCAAGATCTGATTGTCATTAAAAATTTGATGGAAGGGATGAGCTTTATGAAGGTCAATTGCTAAGATCCAGATAAGTTTACAGAAGCTTACCAGCTCCATTGAATCCAGGGGTGCCTCGGGCAATTGCTTTAACATCTATATCATCAGCCAAAGGTTTATCCTGTAGATAGAGCTCCAAAATCTCTTGACGACCTCTCACATCTGGATTTGGAACAGCGATCTAAAGATGGGTTTTGTCAGTCATCTCTCCCAGAGAGAACAGAAAATGAATTTCAATAGTTAAATTGAAAGGAAGATTGAAATTTATCTAAGAAGCAGACACCCTTTGATGTGATTCAATACAAGGGGCTGGTTCAAGCAAATATTTTGCTGAAACTGCTTAATAAAACCAAATTTATTCTAAATATTGGAATGCCAAAAATTTGGCCAATAACTTGCTCCTGAAAGTCATTCAAGCCATTTATATAGAAACTCCTTGTGAAATGAAAGAATGCTTTCCAAACATTTGAATGAATCAAGTAATCAAAAAGTGAAGTGAAGGATTTTGATTAAAAAAAAAGAAAAAAAGAGAGAACCATTCAAGAAATGCTAATTCAAACACCTCAAACTAACTCAATGGTGTTATTTCAGTTCTCAAAGAATTACCACTGATTTAATGCTCTCAAGTCCAGAACTGAATTAGAGTATTAAATGAATAAAGAACTTACATGCCTGTCAAATCTACCAGGTCTTGTCAAAGCGGGATCAAGAATATCAGGTAGATTTGTTGCAGCCATCAATATTATTCCCTGAAGGATGGAAACAGGTTAAGAAATTTACAAATACAAAAAGCAAATTTTATACTGAAACCATCTAAAGATACCTCATTCTGTTCAAAACCATCCATTTCAACAAGCAGTTGGTGCAATGTTTTCTTTGTATGACCTTCCCATTGTTTTCGCGTAGATCCAATAGCATCTATTTCATCAATGAAAATGATGCAGGGAGCCTATATAAAATGGTGAAATAATGTGAATGGTTCAATCAGGAAGGTTTACCACCAAAAGAAGAAAATTGAAAGTTATAATTGCTTGGAAAATTTTGACATAGAAATAAAAGAGACAAAAATACTTGCTCTCCTGGGCAACAATCACATTCTAGTTGAAACAGATAGAACATTTGTTCTTAGCAGCCTTCTTTTGAAGCTTTTACCATTGATTTTAACTTCAATAAGTTGCTATTTTGGGGATTACAATATATATATATAGCTGGAATAAGTTGCTGACTAAAGTATTAACAATCTATCTTCACTAATATATCAAGCTTTCTGGAATTTTGAACCTATCATGAGAGCTCAAAAGAACCATAATTAGACCATACAACTCTGTAGCAAAAATAATAGTCAAATATTTTCAAATTTTATTTAGTTCTGTTGTGTTTACATTTATTTTATTTCTTTCCCAGATGAACTGTCAGAGAATTGCTCAAGCAACAAACCTTTTTCTTAGCTGCTTGAAATAAGGATCTCACACGCCGAGCACCAACTCCAACAAACCTGCCATAAAAAAGTAATTAAAACCCAGCATCTCTAGAACCAAGTAATTAAATCTCAGATCCAAACACTCAATGTACTTTGAGCCCACAGAAGCTTGGAGAAAAAGGTTTTCAAGCAGAGTCTTACATTTCCTCAAATTCAGACCCTGCCCTGTAGAAGAAAGGCACCCCAGCTTCTCCAGCAATAGCCTTGAAGTTATGACAAAGAAAACATGTTTTATGAGACATCACATATGTGATTATGTACTTTGTGCACCTATGCATACAATGTAAAAATTGAATCTATTGAGTATGTTTGGATGAATGCATCAGTCCATGTTGTATAAGTAGGAATAATGCATCCATGCAAAGAGAAGATTTCCACAAACACCAGCATCATAGTCTAGAAGCTAAAGACTGAATTTAATTTTAAGCCAAAACCAAATTCTTGAGTTGAAAGTTTTATCTTTTAAGACAGCTTCATTACAACACTCTTAGGTGAACTAAATTAGAATGTTTTCCTCTTTAAGTTCAAGTGCAGTCAAAGTCTTGTTGACTCTGAAGTCAAGTAAATCCAACTCATGAAAACTCAGAAAATGCACTAGTGCACTCCTTTGAAGTATTTCAAATTTACTCTTTATCTATCAATAATGTATATAGATGTAAATATGAGGTGCAACCACACAAGAACCATACTACAAAGCAGCAGCCACAATAGGTGGTAGCTGGAGCTCAAGCAAAAGTTACAATGCACAAAAACGTCTTTTCAATTGCAAATGACCATCAATGAGAATACCATTGGAGAACCATACCTTGGCAAGGAGAGTTTTTCCAGTTCCAGGTGCTCCAGTCAAAAGGATTCCCTGCAACAAAGTAGACAATGAATGATACAACATTATACCCCAGCAGTCAATGAACTTTACCATGTAAATTTCTTTCAGCAGTATCCCACCCAAATACTTAAACTACATGTGGTGGATAGGAAACTGAGAAAAACTCAAAACTCTTTATTAACATTCAATCTGCCCCATTCATCAAAGTGTCAAGATTCAGGAAAAGACCTCAGATTCTCCACCCAACACCTGAGGCAGAACTCATGAGAGGGCTTCAGACCATTTCTTAACTTATGCAAGTATCAACATTCTATATCCTTTTCCAGTTTTATTAGACATATAAAAGAAAAGGTGAGCTAATTGAGTAAAAGATGAATAGGAACTGAAAAGGACTGAAAGAGCTTATGATACAAAGATGTGTCTCAAAAGACATAATTTTGCACATACCTTTGGCAATTTCCCTCCAAGGCGAGTGAACTTTCCTGGGTTTTTGAGATACTCCACCACTTCCTCAAGCTCTTGTTTTGCATCATCACATCCTTTGACATCCTTAAATGTTTTAACATTCTGCAAAGAATGCTTGAGTTACCAATTTTTTTATCATTCAGTACCATTCTAAGCACATGGTTCATTTGTGGTAAAAATACAACTGCATGTCACTAAAACATTCAGTAAAACAGAATCCTGAAGGTTGTTTAAGTAACAAAACATAAAGCTTCCGGTAAATTGCATCTATCAATGCTAAGAAAGAATTCCTGACAGAAATTTAATGAAAGAAAGGGGAACCAGTATTCTTATTAGCTTGTTTCCCTTAGTCAACCAACATTTTCCATTGACAATTTTTAGCCACAAGCCTAATTTCTCCACCTGTTACACGAATGGTCCAATGAAATCCCTTGAATTATCTTCTAGAGAGTGGTACCACACTATAGAAACTAGAAACGCAGCTCTTTTACATGATTCGGATTAAGAGTCAGTAAGAGTCTGACTCAGAACATATACCTTCTCTGGCGTCACTTCTTTATTCAACTCCTTGGGGGCATAAGAGGAACTTGATCCAACACCTGAAGTTCCTATTCCACCCAAGCTTCCTACATATTTTTGAAGTGCTGCAGCACCCATTAACCTAAACAGAGCATCGATGTTTAAGAACAAGAAAAATATGAGGTTATTAACAAAAATAACAGTTTGGATTGTAAGATAAATAACTAAATGACTCGTACCACACCAATACAACAGCGACAGTGAACAATACGGTTGAAATAAGCTCTTGTGCAAATCTTGATTTGGTTGAAACTTTATGGTCAACCTAATAGAGAAAATAAGAAGCATTACCATCTAGACTTGAGAGGGAATCTATTGAAAGAGAAATTATCTGTTTGATAATAAATGCCAACATATCACAATCTAGGCATTTACTATGCCAAAAGCATGTTGCTCTAACCACATTATCCCCCATGCGGAACAGTGAGACTATAATCCTTACCATCACAACATGGAGAGGTTGCTTCTCAGAAATTCCAGGGCTCAAGAAGGGCTCATCCATGTTCCCTGATGCTCGCTGTTTTAACTCTTGCAACTGCATGCAAGTGCTAAGAAATCAGATATTGCCAGGCAAAGAACATAATGGAACAAATATTACGGTCACTTGGGAAGCATTCACATTAAACTCAAATTCAGATTAATTTTAGTGGCATTCCTTCTATTGAGATAAATTCCACTCCAACACTACTTACATCCATGTCCTCGCGTGTTACTTTTCTAATACTTCTTCCATTAGAAAAGCTATGCAGGTTTATGTTTAAAATATACATCCAAACACCAAGATTTTTGTAAAAAAATCTAATATAAGTGAATCTAAAGATCTGTCTGAGTACCAAAGTTTTTGTTTTATCATGATATTCAGACACAGTTTTATGCAATTATGCATGAATTTCCTAGGTCCAACATTCGTGAATCAATATAAATACACCTGCTCTGGTATCAGAATATTTGGTAGCATTTATGCACTCTTTTGCACTGTGGTTAGTAAATAAATTAACATATGACTTGAAATATGATATATCTGGACTGAAATAAAAGTAACAAACCTAATCCCAGAAGATAGGATTGCAGTATTGTCACTTTCTAGACATCCATAAACATAATAACAAGAATTTGATAAGTGCATGAAGAACACAGCAATGAAAAATCGTGCTTGATTACCAGAGTAGGAAGACTAGAAGGCTTTCCAGTTTGCTCATCTGGAAGATATTCTGCAATGGCATTAGTGACTACAAGAGCTTTAAGGTATTCTGCAACACCTCTACTGTCCACTGCATGGTCCCTTTGCTCAAAACGCTTGATGACAGACTCGGGACTGGGAAAAGAAGTAACTATAAAGTCAATCCCATAAAATAAATAAGGTGTATTATGATGTGAAAAACCAAATGTCGCCAGACCTATGCTTATTGAGCTCAACCAGCAAAGCACTCTGCTTGACAGCGTCCTTGGGATTGGCGTCAGCCTCTGCAATCAGCTTCTCGAGCCGCTTCTCTTGGTGCCAAAACGGCAACCGACTTAGCCAATCCCAAGCCAAAACCTTCTCCACTCCTCTCCTCAACATCGCCCAAACTCCCATAAAAAACACCATCACCTTAAATTTCCTGTTCGCCCCCTCCTTTCCCCTTAATCCCTCATTCCGCCCTTCACTCTCCACCACCACCACATTCGCCCCTCCCCCTTCCGCACTGACTTCAATTTCCGAACTTTCATCTAACCCATCAATTCCCTCTTTGTTTAAATCCGAAACTGAACTCTCACCATGAAAGCTATCAAATTTGAAACCACCAGCATCAGAATCCGAACTCGCATCCAATCCAGAATCCGAATTAACGTTATCCGGATGCAATGTGCAAGGAATCAAGAATCGCCGGCGGTGAAATCGGAAACGAAGAAAGGCGGAAGAGCGAGAGAGTGAACGGGACGAGAGAAAAGAAGAGTGTTGAAGACGCTGTTTCGCGAGAGAAGAAAGAGAAGGAAGATACAGAGAAGGCTTACAGAGAAGTGAAGCTTGAGGAGTGGTCGCCATTGCTGGCTCCCCTTAGGGTTTCTCTGGCTCGGAGAAGAAAGATGGGGGAGAGAGATGAGAGCCACGAAATGGGTTCAGTGGAAAGAAGATGAGCAGTGAAGGGCGAAACCTTATCTACGTTGGCGCCGGCTTTTCTGATTTGGTGACTTGTGTGACGGGAAATTCGGGGTCTGGTTCACTCAGTGAGTTTCTTTCAGTTCTAACTCGGCCATCCAACTTGAGCCCCTCAACTAAATTGTTTGGTTCAATCAAGCCTCCACACTTTTGCCTTAATTAAGCTCTTCAAAGCAATTTTTTTTATTGTCTCTCGAACTAACTTGTACAACATATAAGCCCCTCAAGTAAAGATGTTGATAGGATAGGAAATATGACTTCACATGATCATTTCTTTTCTTTTCGTTAAAAACTTGTCAACTGAATTATTGGTTTATTAAAGAAGTAATAAATTTATAAACTTTCTATAAAAAATTTGTTGCATAAGAATTTGACCTTAAATATTTACATTTCTTCTGTATCCAACCAACAAGCTCATTTTATCCAATCAATAACTTTTGACCTTTTTTAGTGACATAATAATGTAGTTGAATTACTTAAATATTACAAAGAATTATCCTTGATGGGTTCAATTGAAATTAAAGTTTGTATAAGGGCCTTGATTGCACAAATTAATTGAAATTACAAGGAACCTGTTGACTAGTTTCTCTTTGTAAGTTTCTGATGGAAATCCAATTTGTTGCTAAAAAATTTGGCCCTGTAAGACCTTTGCAAGCTAGTGTCTAGTGTCAACAAGCCCTTAATGGAGAGAAGATGATCACAAAAGGTCATGTATCTTATCTTGTTAATTTTGAACTTTTGTGTCATGATCTTATAGGTAAGGGAGCTAGACATTACAAAAGTAACTCGAAGGGTCTGAGTTGAAATTAAAATTGATAAGAGAACAGGTTTGCACCAAACTACTAAGTGGTGTTTTTCTAATTTAACATTAAATAAATGCAACTAAGAATCTTCTTCCTATTTGGTATGGGGAATGTTTACTCTTTGGTTAAGGTATATAAAAAAAAAAATAACTATTGGATTCTTCTCTTAGATTTATGTACCAAAATTAAAAAAAAAAATTATTAAGAGATATAAGAAATAAAAAAAACTATTATGTAATCTTAATTATATTAAATTATACAACAAAAACTCTTGGATAAAAGACGAATCTCCAAATATTAGAAGCTATCTTCTATCAAAGAACTCTTGTTTTACAATTCAAACGGTAAAACAACAAATTCATGAGAAATATATACTCTCATGACCCAAGTTTAAGTTAAAAATAAAAAATATTCATTCTTAATATATTATAATCTCTCTGTTTACACCCATTTTTGCAAAATAGTATAATGATGCCACGTGTCATCCATGTTGGCAGATATTTCATAGTTGAAAGTTGTTGGAGTAAATCTCTGGATAAGGTTGAGTGGTTATTTCCACAACGGCAGCAATACCGTTCTTTTGTTGCGAGCTTCCCGGAGGATAATTGCAGCACCAACAAATTAATCAATTTGTTGCAGGTATTACGCTGCCGTTAGTTTTTTCAGCTGCTGCAGATGTCCACCATGCTGCCAAGGTGTTATAAATACCTAATGATAAGATCAATCAAGGGATCGACATCTCACACAACAAACTCAGCACAACTTCTCTTTATACTCAGACTCGTCTTAGTTTCAAGCCTTTTAATTTAATTTCAGCTCT